TAATCGAGATCAGTATAGGATTTTTAAGCAGAGCTTTCTCTTCTGTCCAACAGGTTGGAGGAAGTAATCTGTATTTTGTGTGTTTTAATCTTCTGTTAAACTCCAAAAATAGATGCTGTCTGACTGTTGTACTTATGATTTCTTTCCAGCTTAGCTGCTGATGCAGAATGACTAACGTTGGGCAAACTCACCCCAGATGTGACACCGCTGTAGTCGGTCCTGCTGGGGCCCAGTGATGCCTGGGCACAGGCAGCTTTCTTCGGGTAGCCTGCTGCTGACCTGAGGGCCATGCCTGTATGTGTTACAGCAGCATTTGATGGTTGCGGCTGTGTTGAGGCTGCTGTATTTGGTAGCAATGCTTATAGAGGGATTGTGTTTACTATCCCCAGCTTTTTAAATATCAGTCTTTTCAATTGCCTTGCTTAGCATTTAAAAACTTGCCACAGTGGCGGTGGAAAGGTCATTTGCTAGCTGTTAAGCTGTGACATGGTTTTGTTATACGTCATGTCTTTTACATAGCCTATAGTGGGTGACTATGCGCAAGCATGTATAGGCTTATAGGAGTTTTGGTGTCTACGCAAGTTGTACTAAGACTGAGCTGAAATCATTGCCTGTTTAGGCTAAGCTTTTTCACTCGTGGATGTTGGATTGTCTTATTGCTGAGTCCTTGTTGCAAACTTAATAGTTTAAATATACTATTGCAGTCCTCGAGAGAGAGGAATTACTTACCATAACGGCATTTGAAGATCTTGTCTACTTTCAGCTTATGTTTGCAACAAAATAAAGTAGTCAAACTTTTCTGCATTTATAGTACTGTGCCCTAGCACTGCACAGGATTTTCAGAACCCTGAGAGAAATTCTTTAGGAATGAAGAGGCCCTTCTCTGTTCCTGGCTGCTGCTTTGCGTCTCATGTTTTGCCTTGTTAGCCAAGCATAGTGTTGTAACAGCGTTGTTTGCAGCGACTTGGTGCAAATCGCCTGTCACTGGGTGAACCAGGTATTGCTGTGATTCATAAAATCCAGGTTCTCTTTTATCTTGATTCTTGGTAGCTTTTTGGCTTAGGAACCCGAAAGTTACTCTACAGATCAATCAAAACTAGGTACTTATAATGCTAGGGAAGAGTTATATCCTGTAGAATGGCACTTGTAGTAGCCAGCGTGCTACTATGAGCTAACATGCAACTGTCAAGTTGCGTAGATAATACTAAGTGATAAATTTTGACTCCAAGCTTGGGAATCTCCGTCCAGACTTCAGAGAAGTGACTGTATTGGGTGAGGATTCAGATTTGATATGCTTTCCTGGAATTTGTCTTAAATGATTTACTTCCAAATGAGCAGTATTTGCATCTTCTTTCCTGGCAAATCTGAAGCCATCCTTTTCTCCAGGGTTCACACTGTGGTTAGAAGGCTCTGTTGTATGATGTTGGAAGCTGCGATGTTCGTATACCTTTCAGGATTTTTGGGGGTGTTTCAACTGTTCGTAATGTAAAATATAAACTCAACTCTCTTAGTAAATTGGGAAACATAGGGTTCACTTCAAGTTTATATGTGTTGTGAGTCTTTATATTAAACATAGATTGTAACTGCTAATGTATGTACTGGGGGAAAAGAGGGAGAGAACTGTTTCTTGCTTACTCATTTTGTGTCAGGCAGTCATATTTGCCATCAACTCAAATCTAACTTTTTAATCACTTCAGCTATTTTGTATTAATATAACAAAATTGGAAAGTTTCAGCATAAAAAGAGTACTTCAGAGATGCTATCAGTATGAAAAGAGGTTAAAAATTGTATCTTTTTACAAGGATACTGTCATTACCTTGAAGTCCTTAGTAAAAGTAGTACATAACCTGTGGGAGAGGCTAAGGAATATAATCTCTCATTTTTTTCAAATTTACATGGTTAGTAGTTAATACTTAACGATTTTGCTGTAGTCCCGTAAACCTTTTTGTGAAAGCATTAGTATCGTAAGACTGTGGCTTCATGGTTACTTTAGGCTGGCGTAAATTTACACTGCTTGCAAATGGGAAGCTCTCTTGACTGGTTACTGCGGGCTCGAGGGAATAGGAGCCTGGTTTGTGTGCTTGAAGTGGTCAGGAAAATGCAGCTGAAGAGAAACAGTGTTCCCTGGTAAATTAACATCTGCCTGAAAAATAACCCAACTGATAGATAAAATCCTGCTGCAGTTGTGTGGTGTAATAATAGGTGAACAGAGATGATATAAATCCTGCTTTTTTCTAATATGATGGAAAAGAGAAAATCATGTGTGATGAAATAATGAATTTAGCCTTCTCTTATATTTTACTTTTTAAATACCTTTTTCAGCACCTTTACTCCAGGTAACACTCAGGCTTATCTAGTAGCTGGGGAAGAGAAAAGGTTTGGTTAAGCTCTTGCCTCCTTCAAATACAAAGTGAAGCTATGTTTATGGATACGAAGAGAACTGGTTGTAATGTACAATTCAGATGACAGCAGATGCCCTGGTACACTTTTAGGTTCTCTCCTGTGGGGCTGGCAGCAGAGCAACCTTCCTGTTGGGCTGGCAGTGCTTTACTGGTTAATCCAGTTAGTTTTTCAGGCTTAGAAAGAAAAATTGAATGCCTTAAAATAACATGGAGGTCAAGAAAAAATGTACATTGATGGTCACTTAAGTGCTGTACGAAACTGAAAAATTTATTTTTCTGAAGAAAAGTCTATGCATAAAAATAAATCTAATTTGAAAATGAAGACTTTTGCTGCACTAGTTCTCAGCCTTACTATGTTCTGGTTTTAAAGCTCTAAACACTTGAATTTCTTGAAAGATTTTTTTTTTAATGTATGAAATGTCATAAATGCTGTAACTATATAAATGACTATATTAATTCAGTACAATTTAGTAATATAAAATGTACTTAATGCATTAGAATTTCTCATAATTTTTTTTTTCCCATCTGAAACAGATACATTGTACGTAACAAATACAAACAGGCTCAACTGAAATTACTCTGTTTTGAAATTAATGCTGAGAGTTTTGGGATTTGCAACTAGACTACCTTCTTGATAGTTTATTCCAAGGTTATAATTGGTATAAGTTTTTAGACCCCTGCTCAAGTGGCTCTTCAGTATGTTGAAATCTGGAAATGGATATTTAAAATGTGGTTTTCAGACTTAAATCTTCTTTTTTAGCTCTGCATTTAGCATTTACACTGCTTGCAAATGGGAAGCTCTCTTGACTGGTTACTGCGGGCTCGAGGGAATAGGAGCCTGGTTTGTGTGCTTGAAGTCCGCAGATACTGAAGAGATAGATAATGCATGAAATAATTTTATGGTAGAAATACCTTTATAATAACGTTAATGAGAAGAATTAGTAATGAGTGATTTGATTACCAGCATCCAGTTATTGGGAAGGCATTGTGTTTATACAGCTGAGATGAGTAAACTCTGGATTAAGAGAGTCAGTTTAAGAGGGCAGTTTACTTCTCAGCATGCCAGCTGGGTATTTAAACTCCCATTGCAGTCAATAGAGATCTGGTTAATATTGTTGGAGGAAGCTAGAAAACACTTTGGCTGACTAGACACAACTGGATACAGTAAGAATTTACTTCTCATTGTGAGCAACAGCTCCTTTTGCAGAAATTATTGCACAGCTGAGAGAACGTGAGAAATGAGGAGACCTGCTCATCTTGGCCATAGGAAGTCTCCCTAGCCCTAATATGTCTCTTAGTCACTTAAGCTAGCAGGGCAACACATGCCTTTTGGGAGAGAAGGTGGCAGGGATTTGTGACTGCAAATCCTTGTTAAGGTTAGGTGTATTATGTCATGGTTCTATTGACTCAGGAGATCTGTATTTCAAAAAAATAAAAATTTTATCTAATATTGAAAAAGTTGATCATTCATTTTAATAACTCAAGTGGAAGTTGGAATCCTAATTAAACACCTTTAATAAAGTGTTTAGGAGTGTTTCCAGGTATAGATCAAAGAAACTAAATTTCTGCTCATGTAACTATATGTTGCTGTAAACTGAGTAAAAGTAAATAACACACTTTAATAAAATTAATTGAAATGCATTTTTAGAACTTTCAGAGAGCTTGCTTCTTTTTTTGCTTCACTGTTGCAGTTCGCAGTTTTTTTTTATGTAGCTACACTGAATTGCACGGCTGATACACAGCAGCAATCAGCTATAGTATTTGTAACAAATGGAAAATTGTCTAGAAACTGTATAAAGTTCATGGTTCATTTGCAGCTTTCTGAGTTCACTTTCACATGCATGCTGTTTGATAAGAAAAATGATGTGTTGCTGCCCTAGTCATCTGTCAATACAGTGTTTTAATATAAATTCCACCAAAGGAAGCATTAAGGGTTGAAGCATTGCCCTTCATCAAAAGAATTAGGTTTGTAGGGATCTGTATCTGGTGAAGCACATACCACGTCATGCCACTTATTTCTGAGGCCCGTAGGTTAAACATACGTAGATCACCTCTGAAGCTGGGGCTGGAGTTGAAAAATCAATAAAGTATTAGTAGGTTCTAGTCATTGGTATTAATTGTTCCCAATTATTTATTTTCTAGAAGATATTTGACTATGCTTTTTGAAGTATAACATTTATTTGTAGTAGCCGAGTGAGATTTTGTCGGTTTATGGCCAGTAGCTTTTTTTAGTTATGCTGTGTTGCATTTATAAAAACAAAAACTACCCCAGAACAAACAAAGGATTAAAAAATTGCTGTTACCTTTTGTTAACATGCTATGAAAATACACCAGCATAGGATTTGGCAGAACTCTGCTACTACAGTGGTGTTTTCTGGAAGGTGTTTGAAAGCTGTGCTTGGGAATGCAGTGACCTGCTTTGCAAAATGTAGAAACGTGACCAGTCATTTTACCACCCTCAGATTTAGGTAGCTTTATAGTGTATTGAACTGGGTGCTGTTTAAAGTTTTGCTCATAGACTTTTTTTTTTTTTTCTGAGAAACTTTAGTAGTGCCGATTTTGGTATTCTAATAGCAAGTTTGTCTTTTTTAGGAAATAAAGCCTCAAAGTCATTACAACCATGGATATAGTGAATCTCTTGGACGGAAAAGTCACATTGATGATTACAGCACTTGGGACATTGTCAAAGCCACACAGTAAGTTATTTGGAGTGTTACGTTTGTCTGTATTAGTTCAAAACCAGGAAAATAGATTTTACTTTTTTTTTTTTTTTTTTTTTTTTGTTGTGTAAAGTGGAAGGTGAACTGTATCTGTAGATACAGTAGTGGAAGATTTCAGAAGTGAACTCTGTTAAATTACTGTTAGGACAAATTTATGAGCATTGTATGAAAATATGTGAGAGGAATTCTGGTAAGCTGTAAATATAGGTGGTTGCTGGACAGATTGTTGGAAGAGAACATACGGTTTTCTTCCTGTTGGTACTGATTTTTATTCTTTGTAGGTGATGATTAAGAGGTAAGTGGGCAACATTGATATGCAAACATGAGGGTTTCCTTGATTTGTTGATATCATTTATAGGTTAGAAGGAATGTGTCTCTAACTTCTTTCGTTGTCTCTGATTCTGCAGTTGCAGTGCTGCTATGAAACTGAGTTTATTGCTGAGAAAAGACTGTAGGAGTAAACTGTGTGTAAATTTAATAATTGTGTTCTTAATGCAGATGAAGTATACAAATTTGTCTTCTACGCAGTCCTGTAGTACATACTAACTCACAAGACTTTCTGAAGAATTGTCATGACACTACTTTTTAGCTTTTTAGATTTTTATTTTTCTTGTATTGTTAATGTGTATACATAAACTATTATGTATCTTGCTGAGCTATTTGCCTTTTTTTTCTTAAAAGAAAATTTTCTTTCTTTTTTTTTTTGTAAAAGGTATCTCCTCCAACTGAAAGCAGCTTTGCAGCTCTGCATGTGACGTTGGCCCTGTTTAGGTTTAGGCAGTATGTGCTTTCATTCACTTTTTGTTTTGATTTGTGAGGAGTTTAACTTCCAGAAATGGATGTTGACTGACTCTTACTCTAAATACTTCAATAGTAATACTACAACCCGTAATCCTCATATCAGGAGATTTTAGAAATGAAAATACTGGCATAGTATCAAACTAGCTGCATCTCAAAAGCATGGAAATAGGACAGCAGAAGTGGTTTTACAAGTTAGTTACTTCCATACTTGTATGCTCATTGCATGTTTGAAACCCTAAAACACATTTGTCCCCGTTAGCCCTCAAATTTAGGCTGATCTATGCTTTCAGCTGAGTTAATTATTTTCTGATCTCCTCAAACAAGAATCAACAGGGCTGTGAGTTACCTGTTATGTTGCTTCCAAGTCATGGTGAGATGTGATTTACAGAGAGGATGACATCTCACCAAAGAGCGCTATAGTTTCATATCATAGCCCTAATGGTTAGTATCACAGGGAGGGGGGACTGTGAGCATGGGTGTACAATCAGGGTATGATATGTAGACAGCACTTCCCTGACTAGAGGGAGAACTCACGTTCATTTTGAAGGATTTGAAGGCCATGTTATATAAAACAGCTGTCTTAAACAGAAAAATCTCTGAATTTTAAGGCAGAAAATAAACCCACCAAATATCAGGCGGCTTGGAATAAAATAAATAATGCTGCTAATATATTAATTCAGTGTTGTTAAAAATATATACAGCTCCTATGAAAATGATGTAGTTATTCACTTTTGTAGAAATAGAACATCACTTTTATATATATGAAAAATAGGTGATCTTATCTTCTACCACTTGTCCTCAAAAATCAATATTCCCTTAGATTAAAATATCTGCTGACTTTATTTAGTTTTAAGTTCCGTGCTAATATAAGTAAGATGCCACAAGATGTTTTGTGAAAAAGGGCGGCTCGTGTGTCTCCCAGAACTCCATTTCCTGAGCAGTTCAATAAGTTCAAGCAAAATGTAGCAAAACAGAGTAAGAATTATTTTCAGTCTCTTAGTTCGGGTGGGTTTTTATTTTGCTGAAGTCCAGGCATGTGGCATTCAGCAGGGGATTTGCAACATAGCTGGTTTTGTGTTGTGTGTGTTCCCCCCGCCCCAAATACTTTAAAACTTCCCCAAGAGAATATAAGACACTTTTTAGTGTGATACAGTCAGATGGTAGCTGGGTGCTTACCATTAGTTAAATGAAATTCTGTTGGTCTCGAGAATGGTCTGATAGCTAATTATAATAATAAAGTTGTGTATCTTCCTCTGTTAAAGTCAGACTGATCTGTCATCTAAAATGATTTGGCATTTCATGTGAGACCACTTAAATTGCAGGCTTCTTGACAGGTAGAAGGTGCTTTTTGCCGTAGCATGGAATTGTTTGCTATTAAATTTGTGGTAATCCAAGCAGGAAGCAGTTAGTCATGTCATATAAGTAGCTAGTCAGTCATTTAATTTTTTTCATAATCGTTGTTCTTACAGTATTTGATGTGCTGAATTATTAGAAGTTTCTGCTGTGAAAGTAACTAGCTATATTACTGTTGCAACATACATGAAAATTTGGAACATAGTTCCTTAAACTTTGAAGATGATGATGAAAAATGGGATGTAAAGGTTTAAAACTCGTCTATGCTTCATATATGCTGTTTGCCTGTAGAACTGTGTTTTGGGATGTTGAGTTTAGTGGCACTTGATTACAGAGAAATAAATCAACATTAGTAAAATAATGCATTTGCAAGGGAAGATAAGAGCTTGCAAACTCCACACATTTTTCCAGAAGTATTTGTTCATTGTTTCGTATCTTGTTGAACTGTTTGTATGCTTTATCTTCTAAGTCTGTAGATTGGACACTTATTAAATTAACATGCTCATACACCATGAGCTACAAATCTAATAGCTTCTTACAATCAAATCAAGACTTTTTATAGAAAAGAGCAGTTCAGCTGATGTTCTCATTGCAAAGAGTTTATCAGTATTTGTATTTTTTCCTGATTATGTTCCTGGTAAATTCTCCCACAGACATTGAGATCTAGGCATGCTTTATACCAAAAATAGTCTCTCTGTTTATTTTGCAGAAACTAGTGCTAGAGTAAAAATCAGTGTTTGGTTTTAATACCTATTGATATAAGGGGTATCTTTCACTGGCTTTGTTATAAGCATGTTGAAGGGCATCTCTAGGTAGTGTTAAAAGTAGTAGTGTCTTAGCCCTTTATCTTGCAGATGTTGCAGTATGTGTGTGATCTCTTGGCATCTTGTATTCACTTACAGCAAAATTGTTTGGTTCATACAAAGTTTCCACTGTGTTTCTGAAAGGAGAAGAGGCCACTCAAAAGTACTTGAAAAATCTGTTTTTAAAGTAGTGGTAAAAAAATCATCCATTCTTGCCTTTGTTGTTGCAATGGAGGAACATTGCGTACTAATACTTAATAAGTACTTCACTTATAACTGCATAGAAAGTTTTAATTTCTGCCCCTGCAAAATCAGAGGGTGGGCTGCATGTTGTTTTCATTCCTCTGTGATATTGTTCAGTGCTCGGCTGGAGCTGCAAGAGAATGGAATCTTGTAAAACGTCGTAAGTGCTTTGAAGTGAAATTGAATGGAGATATGTGGATATGTTTATTTCTGTCTCTTCTGGCACCAGTAGCCCTGTGTCCTCCAAAGATGTAGTCATAACTTTGAATATGATGTCTTGGGAAGGATACTGTGTTAACATAATAACTTAAAGTTGCTGCTTTTGTTTTGTTTTAAATCTTAAGCCATGAAATTAGGGAAAAGTAGCTAAAGTTCATGGGTAGAGAAGTATACGATGGGTTATGACTAAGAGAACAAAATCTAAGACACATTAATCCTTGCATCGTGATTTTCAGTTCTGTTGAGTGTGAATAGGCATTTTCTGCTTGTGGTGAACTTGAGCAAATTCCAGCTATGCTGAAAGTATGTTAAATAACCGTTATGAACATTGGTATTAAACATTAATGATAGAACAAGTGCTTTTGTGACTTCTGGAAGATTGATTCCTTGTCCTCAAGTGTTACAATTTCATTATTGCAAGATTAACTTTTCTGTTAGTTTTATTCACTGAGATCACTCAAAATGTCATGTGCGCTGTGAAATAGTGCAGCATGAAATATGAGATGCTGAATGTTACTCGGGGGAAAAAAATTGTTGGATACATTTGAGAACATGCTTTTTTTCCTCACTATTTCTCACCACGCGTAGGGTAACTGATAAGAAGAAAGTAGGGTACATACGGAATAATTCAAATTGGTGAGTGTTGGCCAAAGTGACAATTACTCCTGGCTTTTTTCAGCTATTTCCAGGAAAGGATGGGCAAACCATGACACAGGTACACATTCTTTATGCCTAGTCATTTATGCCCATGGAGTTTGATTATATTGCTGAAAGTGAAATGTATCTGAAGTTCCCATGGAAGGGTGGGATTTTTTTTAACCACATGAGTAATGTAGCCACAACTGTCTAGACAATTTGAGGCTTTGGAACACGTGCAAGAGCTGAATTTCTCTTGTCTTTCAACATCACTGTTAATGGTTCATTAAGCAGCTCTTGAGTTATCCCTTTGCTGTTAAAAACAAAACTGTCTTACTGTTTAACACAAAAAACATGAGAACATATGAAAGGCATTGTTAGTGTTTAACCATCGTTATTCATGTTAATGAGACTCCAAAAGATAAAGACTGTTTTTCTACTAATTGCATTTCCCTTTAAAACAGCTTTGATTGGAGTTACGATGATAGCAAGGTGAGGGAGTGAGCTCCTGGCTTATCTACTGTTTGTTGGCATGGTGATGTGATCACTGAAGAGAGATTCCTTCCTAGTATTGTGGCCAAATTTTATGTTAATCGTGCAGCAAAGCTGACAGTGTCTATTTCCAAGAGTCAATGTGCTTGCAGATGAAAGATTAAAAAATGGATTACGTATTAAAAATGCAAAAGGCTTCTAGAATGCTAATTTTTAAGTATTAAATTCAGAATATCTTTAACTTGCATTGATAAATAAAGTGTTACAGGTTAGTTACCGAAATGGCTTAGAGACTGTGATAGTGAAATAAGCTTGCACGATGGTATTTTTTTCCTTGGAAGAACCAGTCCCTTTTCTTTCAGAACAATGCAAGCTCAGTAGTATGCTTTAATTACACTTCATATTGACATTTACAGCATCACCCTCTAGAATTCACCCAGGTGCTGAAAATTTGTGAGGTTAATACATCGGTCTCTTGTGAGGGTTTGAATCTTTTCCTCCATTACTTTTTCTTGAAGGGCATAAAGCCCTTTATAACAACGTTGTAAGCACAGTTATGCTGAGTGTCTGACATAGATGACTTTCTCATTTTGTAATCTAACAGTGTGTCATGAACCTTTGGAGAAGGCAAGGTGAAGTCAGCTGCAGCAAATTGATGGAAGAAGACTCTGGGTAGTACATGAGAAGAATGCTGCATTTCTAGCACGGAGCTCCAGAAACCATGACTGCATCAGATTCAGTGTTTTATTTAATTGTAGAGAGCCTGCTGTTTCCAGGAAGGGTAGCAAATTGTTGTACACTCCTGACCTTTTTTGCCAGGCGTATTTTGTCTGTCTAGATCCTTAAGTCCTCTTGTGACAATTTAATAAATTGAAGAGTTATTAAATTATACCTTGTGTTACATCTTTTGTAATCAGTTATGATTGAGTTCAAGATACCAAAATAAATTGCTAGGAGCAGACAAACTGATGGTGACTTAAATAAAAAATTGCTGTATACCTTATTCTCAGTTTAACTTTTGGAAAGTGTTTTGTTCCTGGGAAGGCTCTTCTGATGTGTTGCAGACCTTCATGATCCATTTTGTGGCCAAGCAGTAGGCAGAACCTGTGACTTGCAGTTTGCCTTCCAGTGGGGATGAGGGGAAGTCGGTAATGCTAAGCCCGGAGAAGGAATCTGTTCCTCCTGCTCCTTGTTATGTCCAAACCCATGCGGCAGTCTATGCCCAGGGCCTCACAGCAGTGTATGGGTGGGTTCTAGAGGGTGGTATTTGTAAACATCAGTGGAGCATAGTTAGAGCATCCCATCGGGGCTTCTGCAGAGGCATTGACAACAGCGTTCTGCCTCAGCAGGCTTCGGAGTTGATTCGGATGCTTACTGCAGCTCTCTGTCATTTTCATATCTCCTGAGCAAGGTTCTTCAGAAAGCAGCATCCCATTTTCTGCAAGACTAGAGATTTGCTTTAAATAAATAAAAGATCCCACAAAAAATCCCACCAAAACCCCAAAAAACAAACACCCCCCTGTCACACCCCCTAAAAGACTGTGACAGTGCTGCTTGGTTATACCTATCTGGGTAGTATGGTGTAACAAAACCTTGACTAGGTATCAGAGGTTACTTTCAAGGAAGATCATTTTGTGTTGTGTAGTTAACTTGACAGAATGCACATCTAAATCATTTGTACAGTTTACCATAGCTGACTAGTAGTAATGTTGTGGTTTAAACCTGGTAGGCAGCTGAGGCCCGTGCAGCTGCTCGCTCACTCCCCTCCAGTGGGATGGGGAAGTGAATCAGAAGGGTAAATGTGAGAACTGATGGGTTTGAGTTAAAGACAATTTACAGGAGAAATGAAAGCCTTGCACGCAAGCAAAACTTAACAAGGAATTCATTCACTACTTCCCACCGACAGGCAGGTGTTCAGCCATCTCTGGAACTGCAGGGCTGCATCATGCCTAACAGTTACTTGGGAAGACAAACACTGTAACTCCAGATGCTCCCCCTTCCTCCTCCTTCCCCCACCCTTACTGCTGAGCACAGCGTCATGTGAAGTGGGACATCCCTTTGGTCAGCTGGGGCAGCTGTCCCAGCTGTGTCCCCTCCCAGCTTCTTGTGCACCACAGCCTGCTCGCTGGTGGGGAACGTGAGAAACAGAAGAGGCTTTGACCTGTGTGAGTACTGCTCAGCAACAGCTAAAACACAGGTGTGTTATCAAGACCGTTTTGCTCACAAATCCAAAACATAGCCTCACAGGAGTTACTATGGAGAAAATTAACTTGATCCCAGTCAAAACCAGTACATGTAAGCAAAATCCTAACCTATTGCAGGAAAAGTTTACATGATTGTTTCTTACACTTTGGAGAAGTTAGTATTATTGCATTATTGTGTCCTTTATATCTTTCCAACAACTTAGAATATTTTATTAATATAATTCCTGCTTCTTGTGTAGTACTACTTATTTAAGCAGAATGAGTCAGCTAAACTCAGCCTTAGGCAGTACAGTTTTTTTAGCTGTTGATGGTTAAACCTAATAGCAGGGCTGTAGGACAATAATTTCTTATGACTTCAGTTGTTTAAACGAAGGCAGCAGGCTCAGCTACAGTAGGAAGGATTGTCATAACAGCTGACTGGAGAGAACAGCTTGTCAACAAAAGGGTGTTGTTGCTATTCCACATGAATCACTTTCCAGGTTACCTCCAGATGTTTCTATATGCTAGTGTGACATTGTACTGCAGTAAGATTAGAAGTTGCTGTCCTTCTTTCCCCATCTCTTCTACTGTCTCTTCTCACTCCTCGTTCTTGGCTGACCTGCCTTTAGTAGTCCTAACCTGTTCCAGTGGCTTTTTCAGCTGAGGAGGGGGAAGTCAGGAATGGTACATGATAAGCCATTTGAACAGGAACTCATCAGGCCACACTGCTGATCTGGGCTGGGACTTGGGAGATAGTACGCCTGAAGACTGGCCAGACTTAGAACCTTATCAGTTTTCCTGGCAGTTGTGTGTGTCTGAGTATGTGTATCTTGTCTAGCTGGTTGCATATTTTTATGTCTTCGTAAACCAAACCTCTTCTCCCTGCACCCAACTGATTAAAAACAAAGCTTTGCCATCAAAATTATTCACGACTGCTGCTTTTTTACTCAGTCTGAGGGACAAAGTTTTGCAGGCTCGTTGCCAGTTGGTATGTACTGCACGGAATAATCTTTGTTCTGATCTTTCATAGTGTTTGGAAAGATTATAGGTATGACAGCAATTTCCAGCATTTTTCATAATTTCTAGTGCAACTTTCCTAAGAAATTAAAAACATGATCTTAGTACATGGTCTAGTACTTCTTTTTTGATAGTGTCCAGCTATTTTATGTGCTTCAAACCTGTGATCAGCTTGGAAAGCATTCTTGAGGTTTGTTGACTTGAGTCATTTGAGGCTTCACTTATGGGAGCCCTGTCCAGATTGAGGATCCATTCGAATACATGAAAGAAAAAGTAAGAATGGTTACTGCCCTGGAAAAAAGGTCTCTGCGTCGGGTACACAAGCTGACCAGGTGGAGCAAAAGGGCCTGAAGTTGTCTAAGGCTCTCTCTTCTACAGAAAGTAGAACATAGAAGCAGCATAAGGAAAACTTACTTGAATTCCAACTTTGAGAGGCTGTTAAAATTCTGCTGTAGCAGAAATCAAATGTCACAAGGCATTGATCTTGATTTCAAAGTGTGCCCAAACATCAGTCTACTCCTTCAGGCTTGAGAACTCTGTATGGGTTGTACAGATGTTGAAATGTAATCTTGACTTGCCTTTCTGCATAGCTTTTATTGCCACTAAAAATAGGTGGTAAAACAGTGTAAGCATCAAGACAAACATTATTTAGTGTTGGAGTTAGTCCTGTGTTAGATGCTTAAATGATATTTAAGTTTCCTGATTCAACTTTCAAAATGTATGCAGAATTTTTTTTTCATATGAAGGTAGCTCACATTTAATAGTCATCTTTAATGAATTAATTTCATGTTAAAGTGTAGAATTTTTAAGTGCTTATAAAAAAGGAAATGGTACTGAATTATATGAGGATGATTGCTATTTGTTATCTGAGAAGAAAAATAGGAAAATGCTTTAGCTCTCTGAATGTTTGTAATTGACCTGATGAGCTTGTCATCTGCTGAATTTTGGCCAAATCGGTCAGCCAAGCTCCTTTGGTCTTTATGAGATGGAGAGGAAGAAGAGAGGTGGGAGAAACAAATGTAGTGCAGTCCCTGGGTAGAGAAGAATTTTATTTATACTTGGTGTACTACTGATTGATGTTTTGCCTTGCTCTGCTGTATAATTTTCTGTAAAATCTCTGATTGATTAATATCACTTCTGCCAGTGGAAGCATTTTGTTGCAAAAGATCTGTAATCATATTGAAACAGAAAGTAAAGTTTTTTTGTCGTATCTCTTCCATTGAAGCTTTTTATTGTGAGCAGAAGTATGGTGTTTGCTGAATGCGTTTTTGTCTAAGGTAACAGCGTTGAAAAATCTTTTTTTCTTCTTCAAGGTACGGAATATATGAACGATGTAGAGAATTGGTGGAAGCAGGTTATGATGTACGACAACCAGATAAAGAAAATGTAACACTTCTCCACTGGGCTGCAATCAACAACAGGATAGATCTGGTGAAGTATGTATTACACTTTAACTTAAACATAAACTAATCATGTCCTTAAAAATGTTGATTTATTTTTTTAAGGTATTAAATAATCTTAAGTTTCTCAAAATTGCAATATTTGGTCTTGAAATTTGGGGGAGGGGGGAGAAGTAATAAGCCCTAATTTGCATTTTGACAGCAACATTTTGATGACACAACAGAAATAAAACATGTTATATGTCCAGAAGTCAAGGTCAGACTCTTCTCAGATGAGGTAAACCTGTGGAGCAGCTGTTCAGCTCTACACGTAGTTTCTTTATACTATGGCGTACTTGTTGAAATACCAGGGGAAGATTGGTGCTAGATGGTAGTGAATGTTATCGAATAAACAAGATTAGTATGATGCAAGGGGCAATTCCTACTTCATTCAGCATTTCAGGAAGTTCGACTTCTTTGCATTTTAAAGCTACAGCTGTTACAAAAGGTAGCATTGCAGCACCACTCCTTTCAAGTAATAACAAAATCTTTAATAGTAGGAGCTGTGGGATTTGGGGTATTTTTTTGCTTTTCAGTTTATAAAAACTGGAGCATAATATTTGAGACTAAGTTTTAAAACCTGTTATTATCTTTCAGAACATGGAGAGTTTAGATCCTGAAGGGATAATTCCTAGTACCTGCTATTTTTGCATATCAGGAGTGTGTATAGAACGTGTTTTTTTTTTTTTTCTCTGTCAGTGGTGAAACGAATGAAGTACCTGCAGTTAAATCTAAATACACAAAATATTGTATCAGCAGATTTCTAGAATATTTGACATAAACTGCCCATGTTCAACCAGTCCACTTTTAAAAACAGTTCTTATTAATGAGTGTCTGTACTTACACATAAAAACAAATGCAAAACAGCTTCATTTATGCATGTTCTCCCAGTCTATGTCCATCACCAGCACCTTTATCAGACCAAATGCTGAGTTTCTAGAACATCTCAGGTCCATGTTTCTCATCTTGTTTTTAAAGGACTTTATGTCCTGATGCAGTTCTCTTAAGTTCTCTTAAAGGAAGGTTAAATAAATAAACCTAGGTAAACAGATAAAGATTTAGATTTGATGAGAAGGACCTTGGGGTCCTGGTGGACAGGAAGCTGACTGAATAAGGAATGCAGCCTTGCAGCAAAAAAAGTCAATGGTATACTTGGCCTCATTAAGAAAAACATTGCCAACACGTTGAGGGAGATGATCCTTCCTTCAGCTGTTGAAGCTGGACATCTGTGTGAAGTTGTGGGTTCCCCTTTGCAAGAGAGGTACAGACTTGCTGGGGTGAGCCCATTGCAGGGTTGCAAAGATGATTAAGGGACTGGAACATCTGGCACGAGGAAAGGCTGCACGTGCTTGGGCTTCTTAGCCTAGAGAAGAGGAGGATTATCTTGTCAATGTGTATCAGATCCTCAAGGAGGATTTTATCAATGTATATAAGTTCCTGAGATACCTGGTAATATATAATACCTGGAATCTTATCAAGTGTATAAATACCTGGTGGGAAGGGATAAAGGAGGCAGAGCCAGGCTTTTCTCAGTAGTGCCCAGGGGCAAGACAAGAGGCAGAGGACACAAGTTAAAACACATGTGAAATTCCGTGTGAACATCAGGAAACATTTATTTTACTGTGTGGGTGACTGAGCACTGGCATAGGTTGCCCAGAGAGGTTGTGAACTCTCCATCCTTGGAGTTATTCAGGACCCAGCTGGACATGGTCCTAGATGACGTGATCTAGATGCTTTGAATAGGAATGGTTAAACTAGATGATCTGCAAAGATCCCTTCCAAACTAAATGATTCTGTGAAATAATTCAGTGGTTCTGAAAGAATTTTTTTTGTTACACGCAGTAGATAGCACACCAGGTTTTATGTCTTTAATGTGCGTAGAAGCTTACCGTGGAAACCATAATTCTGCGTTTTGTATCTTCCTTTCATTATCGTATAGGTAACCAATATGCTTTTTGGCATGCTGAAAGAGAGCCTCTTGCAAAAGTGATGCAAGACCCTGGTTTCCCTAAATAACCTTTTTTGTGAGAGTACATTTTAGACACTATTGGTTTCTTCATTTTCATTCCATTTTCCTTCTGGGTTGTCATGGATCTTTATGGCTAGCATCTTACAATTTGCTGTGAAATAACTGAAAAGCATAAAATTTTTCAGATAGCCATTTTTCTTTAAGAAAAGTACAGGATCTAAAAGCAGTTGTTATATTTTGACGTCCCTTTGTTACACATCTTGAATGCATAATGAATTATGTGCAATGAATTTTTCATCTTATTTGAGCTGTTGGAAGACATATTTGTATTACAGATATTCCATCTGTATTGTTATGTCTTTATCAGGTCTAAAAAGTGAATGGCATTGAGACAGCTATCATCATTTAAAAACATGAGCATGTCATGAAGCGTTTGAAAAAATAGGCCTATATCATGGATAATGTTTCTGTATTAACTTGTGTATAGTTTCAGTATTAGCTTCGCAGTGCAGTGAATCTACTTGTGTGATATTTGATTATGACTTAATGCTTTAGTTCACTAGCGTTTTATGTATTCTACAGCCTTTTCTTTAAAAAAAAAAAAAAATGAAAACAAACAAAAAGAATCTGCCCCCCAAAATTTGTTTGAGGACCTTCTGTGATTCACAGAGTAAAATTAGACCAAATTTTGAATTCCCCATTAGTCCTGTTTTTAAGCTAAATTTATGAAAGAAGTACTTCAGCATGTGAGTATGTCATGGTGTGTTTTACCTTCCCCCCCCCGCCCCCATGTGTTGGTAACAATTTCCTGCTGTAGCAATGATATTGGTCGTAGAGGTGGTTCAAAATCAAAATGTCACATTCAGATAGATGGAAGTCTATGCCTAAATCTCTAGCTGAATTTCCAGTTAGGTCTTTATGTTAGGGACATCTCTCCGCCTGTGTTTGAGTGCTGGAAACTTGTTCTGAGAATTTTAATTCAACATAACTTTAATTGTACCAGCCATATCTCTTTCAAGTTATTTTGGTATCAACCCTGAAAATTGAATTATCTTAAATCTAATGTGTCTATTTCTTCCTTTTTCCTCAACAATATGTCAAAGCTCTTGTCCCTTCTTGATGCGTCTACCACTGTGACATCCTGCGTTGCATTTTCTTCCTGCTGTTTACTAGAGTGCATGTGACTACTAATGTGTTTAACTATCTAAAATTCATTCCTCCTGATGTAGTTCTTATGCTCTAAGTTCCTCTGTCTTCAGGAGGTGTTGATTTATTTTAGTTTATATCACCCAGCATATTATGTGCTCTCTCACTCTCTCGTGTGTGACACTGGTTTATTCTGTTTCCTTGGAATAAAATTATTCTGTGGGGTGTTTTTTGTTTGATCCTATCGCATCTTTCCCCAGGCCTCCCCTATTTGTGCACATTGTGTGCAATGGATAATTTCATTAAACATGTTGGCTAGTAAGCTTGGTATCACAGAGATAGAGTCTAAGTGTATCTGGTCTGCTTTCTTGATACCAGATTTCAGTGTCTTGCGTACTGGATATTGACTATATAATGTCTTTTCAATGAAGTAGCTTAGTGGCTCGTTTGTGGAGAGTGCAGGTTTAGGATTAGACTTCTCTTATTTTTACTGTTTCCTTGTTCTTTCTGTTGTGAGACTTGAGATTCAGCATAGGTAACAGTGAAGTCCATTGATACTTTATAAGGAAAACTACAGAACCTTTTCTTATTTCTGTAGGATCAGGGAAAAGTATCAAACATCCACAAAGTAATTCTTTTTTCATCATGACACTGGTCTCTTCAACTCTGTTTTGTAAAAATGCAAAAACTGGCCTTATCTCTACAGTTGCCTACTGTCTGTGTTTCCCCATTTTCTGTGTTGAACTTTCTTCAGACAAGGGTTTCTCTTCTGCTTCTCCTCCTTCTAGCAACAGTGACCACGTGCACTTTGATTCCAACAAGCACTGAGTGCAAGCTGAGGCAGTTTTCAAATGCCTGGCAACGACTTAATGATCCTAATGTGGAGATCAGTGGCAGTCTTTTCATCTTAAGGCAACCTCTTATCAGGTCTGCTTGCTTTGAATGTAAGTAGATTGCTCGAATAGGACTTGCACACTTGACATCTTCTCACTGAGGGTAGAATCACCCAATTCCTCCTTGCTCCAGGAACATTTTCACCAAGCACAAAATTCCTTCTGCAAGATCCTACCTAGACAAGGAGATTTAAGTTCTCAGTCTGGTTTTGCAGAAAAATCTCACCATTTATGTGTACTGAAACAGAAATGCAGCGATAAATTTCGACTTAGTGTAAGAACACCCTTAAGGAAACCTAAAATGTTATTTCAATGTGCCATCTGGCAGGAGATCACTGCCTTGTCTTTTCCCAGTTGTCAAACTGCAAGTTCTTCCTTCTAAATAAAACATACTAAGCAGTAAGCAGTGCTGCTGCTCAGTAGAATCTGAATATATTCTGTGTTTCTGCGGGGACCAGTGTTTGAATGAAGACAATCTGTTTAATGTTCACCTCCCCAGGAGTGGCTGTCACATCAGTGAGATGGATCCAAGCTCTCACTGAATTTCTCTCTGCTGTCTTTTATGTAGACAAGATTTCCTTGGGAACTCCTTCCCAAGAGGGACTAAATGACTTCTCAGTGTCTTGTTCAAATTTGTTCTTTGGTAGCTGGTACTTTGTTTCACAATAACAAAATGATGTTGTCCCTTTACCTTATACACCCATTGTCTTTTCACTGACCAAGACTTTCACAAAATCTTTGGTTGTTCTCATTGAGGAATCCAAAAGCTTAACTTCGGCAGAGACATGTTGCAGTTTTGTTCCTTTGGCGTTGCAGACTGGTGAAGTGGACTGTCCTGGATGAGAGCAGATCTCGTTTCTCATACAAACCAGAGTTTGTATGACTTTGGCAAGTCTGCTGAAGTACTTCGTTGTGTCTGATGGCTCTAAAGACACTGTATGAAAGGTCTTTTCCTTGAGTTGTTTTTGGTGTGGACATGGATAGCTAATGCATGTTTCTGTTCCTAAAGGTAACTTTTGGGCTGTTTGTGAGGTTTCACTCTCTGAGTCAATAAGCACTAAAGAGAAAGAAGGTAGTTACTTAGGGTAATGTTTTTGAAATTGTTCTCTTGTTGCCCTTGTTTTGGCCATGTCTTCAAACACTTAGAGGAAATTCAGGTGCCAGAAACTCAGTGCTGAGGATTTGAAGGACGTGGGAGAGCAGCATTCATATTTACCTGACAGGTGTTTTGAAAGCGAAAAGTCTGCAGGCATACAGGTACTTGAAATGTGCAAGCACTTATGAATCTATAGCTAGATAGCACTTTTCAAAGGTCTGTTAGTAGTAACTGTTTTTTCCCCATTGGCTTATACAGTAGTGAATGAAGAACTAGAAGCCTTCTGGGAAGGCCTGTTTTTAAAAAACATTAATTTCTTTGTAAGGTGTGCATTTTCTTTCACAAAGGAAAAGTAATATTGCCGCTTTAGTGCCCCATAGAAAACAGCAAGGAAGACAGTTCCCAGAAACAGTACAAATGACTATGAATATGAATTGCTGCAGTTAAATTTGGGTAACGGGTTTTGTTCCTACAGGTACCTCGTCTTTTTATAATTGTTCTTGAGGGAAAAATAATTTCTAGCCCATCATTTAGAAGTATTTTTTATATACTCAAATGTTTTTGTGTTTTGTTTAATAACAATTGAGAAGTGTGGAAAAATCTTAGTACTTGGCTAAACGTGTAACTTCAGCGTGAGCTCTTGGAACAGTGACTTCAGCAGGGCCATTCTGGTGATGATACATGCTGCAAGTTGACTTGTATATAATTTTGCCATTTGGCCAAATTTCTCTAAATATGCTAGTATTCTAGAAGCATATTCTTTTGCCATGAATTCAGAATTATTTTTGATGCAGCAACCTCTTAAGTATTTTAGAATAATCCATTCTATTAAATACTTCTGTGGTAGCACAGTTTGTACCAATATATATAGCAGTTATTCTGTTTTACCTTAGAACCAAACCGTTCTAAGAAAGAGCAGAATGTTCAAAACACAGTAGGAAGCATCCCTACTCTCCCAACCCACGTCAAAAGGCAAAAAAATTGAATAAGTGTGCATGACCTCTAAAAAGGAAGGTTATATGAAGGCAAGGAAAGGTTCTGGTGTTCTAGTCTGTAACTGCCCATTTTGCATAACATCAAACATGCTTACTGTGTGTCCTTTAAATTTAACCAAGACAAGCAATAATGTTTACTATTTCTGTTATTCCAGATACTATATATCAAAAGGTGCTATCGTTGATCAGCTTGGAGGAGATTTAAATTCTACCCCACTTCACTGGGCAACAAGGTGGGGATAAGTCTTCTGTAATTTTATTTTCCTGTGTTTTTGCTTAATTTAGAATCTGCTACTGATTGATTTATGAAATTGCTGTATTTTATGGGAATACATGAACGTGAATTCATGTACATGAATTAATTCAGTAATTGATAACTCAGCACACTGTGAATGTAGTATGTTTGAGCTACAGGAGCTTTCAGCATATAGTTCAGTTTTTATCTTCTCTTTCTTGTGTAGAGGAAAATGATTGCTATCATAGGAAAAGGAGTACGGTATAATTAGAGTCTGTAGTCACCTTGGTTTACTCTTACTTTGGAGATCTTATTTTTGTCAGTCTTCTAAAGTTCAGCAGCACTTGTGCAGATGGGACTTGAGATGATCTTGTGTGACATTGTACTTGCAGTGTTCTATTACGTGTGTGGATTTTTTTTTTAAGATGCACTTAAAATCAGATTTATGATGTAGAGGATGGCCCGAGAATGATGAATGACTGGGAAAATTGAAGGCAGCCTTTGAGTAGTAGCTGCTCCTTCAGACAACCGCCTAGAAATAGGCAGGAAAGGAACACTGCCCATATTAATATTTTTAACTGTAGACTGCAAAAGGAGACTTAGAAAATTAGCTTTTAGAACATTTAATGTATCAAAATAATCGGTTTACTAAAGGTGAGGACTTGCTTGTTAGCCTCCCTTAAAGATTTTAGCTTGTGTATTTGTTACAGATCACCTTCTAAGTTCTGTGTTAATAGCACAAAAGCTTGATTAAATTTCCCGGTGTTCATAGCTGTAATCTGTTGTTCTGAGAAGCAGCTTTGGACAAAGCTTCAGACAGATTGTAAAGGTCTTTTTGCTCATGTCAGAAACCGTGTGCTGACAGTTAGGCACCATGTCTACACGAAGGATATGCCTATGCTTGTTATGACAAAAAGATGCTTAAGCTTTTAAGGTAGTGTGGAGGAAGTGTAGGTCTTCAGTTTTTTCTTCCTTTTTTTTTCTTCCTGTTTTTATTTCACTACTGTTTTTAATAGTAGAAAGATAAACCATATGCCCCGCAGAAAATGAGAGTACGTAGCCAGTTTGACAGCTCTTGAAATAGCAGTTTTCATATGTGGATTGGAAGGAGTCACAATAGACTAGATTTCTAAACTAATAACTTGTGAGGTTTTGTTGACTGGCTTTTGGCTATATGACACGACTAAGTGAAGTGAGTGTGATGAATGCATTGGCTGCATAGAATTTGCTCATATGAATGAGTTTGCCTACTCAGTTGCAGAATCAGATCACGACAATTGTTGTTTTCAAAGTGTGAGTCAAAGTGCGGAAGCTCCGGTAGCGTAATTAACTGCTGACCGTTTTTGTTGTATTCAAATGTTCAAATTTTAGTAGTTTTTCTGTGTACAGTTATTCAGCTGGTTTTTTTTGTGTGTTTTGTTACATTTAGACAGGGTCACTTATCCATGGTTGTACAGCTGATGAAATATGGGGCAGATCCGTCGCTAATTGATGGAGAAGGATGTAGCTGTATTCATTTGGCTGCCCAGTTTGGACATACTTCGATTGTTGCTTACCTGATAGCAAAGGGACAGGTAAACTTTAAGAAATAACCATATTTACATAGATTCTACCCAAAATTAGAGTACGAAAACAATGGAAACCTATACCTGTCATTCAGGAAGTGCAAAATATTTGCCTGACTAAACATAAAAATATTTCAATGTCTTTTATTGTGGACTACAGTACTGATGTGCCACCTGCTAACTTAATTTCCTTTATCAGCAGTCTGAGTACTTTGGCTTTAATTCATACCTGTCTAGTGTGGTATGTGGAAATTCTATGAGTTATTCTTTTACCATTCATTATTTCTAATGAATTTAATATTTAAATGTTAATAGTGACAATGATAGCAAATATTCTAGAATTCTTCACAGAATCATCAGATTATGCACAGGTAAAGAATCTAATGACAGAGAGTTGTCATAGCTCATCTCTTTTTTCTACACCTCAAGACCACAACTTTTATTTATTGCTGTTACTGATTGCATACATGTGTAAATAAAAAAACACCCCAAACAACTCAAAATCTTCTTTCTAGACACTTACATTACTGCTAGGTCTGTAAAGTGTATATATAGTATGTGTATTCATTACTGTTGTCGTTGTCTCCCATCCTTCATTTTGTATGCTCAAAAACATGTTCACCTTTTTGCTACTCACCCTGCATTATAATTTGTAGATTTACTCACCCACAGATACATGCTAGAAGCACAAATTTGATTTACTTTGTAAACCATACAGAAAAGTCAAAGCCCTCCTCTCGTGTGAACAGCATTAGCAAGACTGTCAAACTTCTTTATTCTGCTTATTCTTTCAAATGGCAAGTGAGATATGATCCAATGAGTCAGGTAGAATATGACTGTAAAATCAGTGTGTTTGGTCTGTGTAAAACAAATCCTAAATTTGCTGCAGAAAATGATTTGTGCCTATTCATGTAAAAAAATAAGCTATCGCTGTATTTAGTTTGTGTCTGAGAAGTGTTTGGTAAAACAGTATTTAATGTATTACAGAGAGGCACAAAAAGAGGCTGATCATATATAATCACTGTTTTGTAAGAGATAATGATTGGAGAGAAATGCTTTTTCATCAGGAAGTTAAGTGTTCACAAATTATGTATAATTGTATGTGGGTTTTATGTTACCAGAAAGATGTTGCAGATGTTATACAAGTGCGAACTTTTTTAAGGCATAGCATTAGTGAAGTATAAATGGCCTTTAATATGTTCTGCTATGACTATGAATTCTCCCTGTAAATGTTTGTTTGTTCTTATGTTTATATACAGACTTTACCTATTTACCTGAGCATATAATACTTCAGTGCAAAAGAAGCTGTGTGTCTTTACGTGTATACATACAGAAACACACAAAACTTACTTCAAAGTTTAAAACCTCTTATCTTGGAAACAGCTCTCCTTATCAATAGTTTTTAAAAGGATGATTCTTATTAAATCCCCCAAACGTTATCAAGTATGATTTTGGTATCCTTTCCATGCCATAAGTTTGAATTAATTTTAACAGTAATTTTTGGAAGCACTTCAGAACGTTCAACTTTAAAAATTATGTATTGATTTGTATGTTTAAAATGTAGTAATATCAATAACATTGTAATAACAGTCCCTAAACTCACCATTCTCTATCTATACTGCATACAACTACAGAAACTGCAAGGTTTCTGTAGAAGCTATGAGAAATAAGAGATTCTACTTTTTATTCTCCTTTTGTAAGTATACATGAGGTCATTAATCCCCCCTGCCTTTTTTTTTTCCCTTTCCTTCCGCCTCCTTTATGACACCATGATTTGGGTTTGGAAACTAGAACTGCTTTTGCTTGTGTGGACTTACGATGTGTGCTGCTTGCAAATTTGTTTTGCCTTTTGTCTTTGCAGAGAGCAGGTTCTCTTATATCCAAAGAGTAGGCTTGCCCTTGTTCTGAACCTAATTGTAGTACCTGTGTGGTAAATGACAACTAAATAAATGTCAGAATAAAGGTCAGTGTAGGCTGCTGTGCTGTGTTAATTCTGATCCTGATGCCTTCGTGGACCTGCATGATCAGAGGAGGGCCGGCTTTCATAACGCTGTAGAGAACTGACAGGTGGATTAAGAAATTGCTCTTATTTGCTCCTTGTCCCTTTCTGAGACAGAGCTGGAACCCAGCTTCAGTGTTTCTGCTTCACTCTCTTCCTGGGCTGCAGCAGCCAAGGGTAAAATTTCCAGTCTGCAGCTTGAGTCCAGTCCTGTAGCTTCTGGAGCATAGTGTAGGGGAAGAACTCTTGGTCAGATGCCCTCTGGCCTTGGTTGGAAGTGAACCCACTGTCATGCCAGCAAGTACTGCTCAGCCAAAAGGCAGCTGTGGCTGATAGCTGATACTTTTTATTTAGTCATGTCTCTTACTGAACTGTGAGAGACTAATATCTGACTGTATCATAATTTGCTCATGTTGCTTGTGTCAGTATGTTGCCTGGGTCAAAATCAAGTCTGGGGCAAGTACACGATATACATGTATTGAGATAGCAAGTAGAAGAATCTGTAGCATAGCTCAAGCTTAGGTAAGGTCATTATTTTAAAAAAAGGCAAGAAAGAAGACTGAAAAGAGTTTGAAAGCACTTAAAAATGTCCAAAATTGATGCTTGTACTACTTGGCTGTTTGACACTGTGCTTACACTACTTAAAATGCTACAGGTGTATCAGGGCGAAGCATATGCAAATATGTCACCCCAGAATAAGTTAAGATACGGCTATGGTATGTTGGGTGATCGAATGATGTGTTCTCATCCTGTAGCATGTGTGAGATAACTTACCTCTATCACAGATAATGGGTGACTATAAAGTTGCTAGTAGGGTCAAATCATGTTGTAAGAAATACACTGGAGCTAAAGTTACAGTTTAATTATTTCATACTCATAGTTTAACTATCAATTTCGTGGTTCAACTATCACTTACTTATCAAGTATCTATTTTTTTTTAATTCTTAGAGTTGCAATTTTATGTGTTAACTACTGTCACGAGCTACATAGGGCCGCCTTCTGAGCTATGGCTTGGAGTAGTTGGCATCTAGATTGGGAGATGCCAGTTTGGTACCAGCAGCTTTGGTTGCTTTGGTGCTGCAGTCTGTGAGCAGTGCTCCTGAGCCCTGTTACCACTGAGGATCGTTCTCTCCACCAGGCTCAAGCCTGTGTAAGACACTGAACTGAGTGTTTATTTCCTAGACCCAACCTACAGCACATTACTTACAGAATTTTAAGTCCGGTCGTGTTTTCTCCTCCTGATTGTCAAAACTGACGCTGCATGTGATGGACTAGAGCGTTCAGAACAGAGCTTTTGTTGTTTGAAAGAGCAAGTTAGGTTCAGTTCTGTGTGCTGCTTTGCTTGATGAGCTGCCTGTCAGTCTGCACTTGGTTCATTCCGCAAGAATCCTACAAAATCTCTGCTTCTAGTGAATAGCTATCACATGTCTTTCCCAAATTAGGAAGTATTTTCAGCCTCATACCTCCCTTCCTGATAAATCTTCTTTACTATATGCTTTTAAATATGTCAGCTCTTTAGAAGCCTGTTTCCCTTTCCCTGGGCAGCAGTCCATGTGAAAGAGATCTTTTCCTTATGGAGAATAGGATTCTGAACAAGGGCGTGATGGGTCTTTCTATGAAGGTCTGTATTGTGTGAAATACCCACTAATGGTTCTAAAGAGGATCAAATGCCTGCTCCCTTTCTGTGCAGCTTAATGCACTTTTAAGTGGAATCTCTTGATGCTTTTTGTGCTTTTGAAAAGGCTGTATTGTATCACAGTTCTGGCTCAACTAGTGCTTTGTTAAATGTCCCTGTGAGCCTAAATGCTGCTCTGATCTCTAGCTGCTATTCAGAATCCCACCTTGTCGGCTATATCGCCTTCGGAAAGTAGTGTGAAGCAGCAGAATAGTTGCTCCAGCTCCTTTCCATGCAGGAAGCGCTTTTTCCCTGTACTCTTGCCTCTCCAAAAGCTTTTTGTGGAGTCTTGTATTGGTGTCTTAGGATTAAGTCTGATTATCCTTGCATATGCAAAGTTGTTGTCTTTCAGAACTAGAGTTGTTCTCTTTCAGAAACAAGTGGAAAATTTGCCGGTAGTGGTCCACAGAGTTCACACTTGAAATACGTACAGGGGGCAGCAGTATGTGCAATTTCTGATCATTGCCTCACTTCTTGTTGAAATCTTTGGTTCTTGCAGTGCTCATACTGTGTCCTGACAGCATGGGTACACACCTCCATGAGCATTATCAGATTGACCAGTCACTGAGAGTTAAACAAGAAGTTAATGCTAAAATGCCTGTCAGTACACACCAGAACAGAATAACGGTCTCCTAATGTGTACCTGCTGCTGAAGGTTTACTTTTTTGCCTCTGCCATTTGGTGAAAAGCAGCAACAGAGCTTCCTTTCTGAAATGTCCCATTTATTGTGTGGTTTTGGTAATGACCTGACAAAATAAAGAATTTTTGATGAGAGGTTTACTAGAGCTTGTGTCTGCTGTCGACAATTACATCATCTTTGTCTATACAACAGTATGCAAGTCAGTCTTAGTTGCTTCACCTCTTGCTTTTTTCTATGAAATGTAAAGATGAAAGAGTGATTGTTCATGTTACAGTAATTTGCACAATCTTCAAAATACGTTGTTCACACAGTGTGACCTGCGAATTGAAGTCATGCCTCTCAAGGATGAATGAACTTGAGGTTAGGCTGCAGTTCTAATTTTCTTCACGATCTCAACAACAGGAGGTTAAAGGGAGTGCCAATGGTTGCATGATCCTGGTAGGCTCAAGAGGATCTAATCTATACAAGTACCGTGGGCGAACAGGCTTGGATCCTGGTCTCAATGCATGTAAATCTTTTCTGAACAAACAGTACAATAAAGTAATGGTTCTCTTTCCTTTCCATCAACTGTTTTTTGAATTTCTGATTATTTTTTTTTTAATTGGACAACAGAGTAATACCTAAGAAATGTAAAGTTGTCTGCAGGCTAGGGACGTTTTAAAAGCAAATGTTTGGGAGAACTAGATTGGATTTTCTGGAAAACTTCTGCCTGGGTCAGGTTAGCAGCACTGAGAGTGGGGATTGCAGGATGTTGGGTGTTTGGCAGACTACTGGAGCAGAGAAGAAGGTTCTGGGGGTGATAGAAAGCAACATCATCCACTTTCTGAGTTTCTGTCAATAGTTTCTATATCCACTTTCTGAGTTTTTGTCAGTAGTTTGTGTAGCAAAAGACTTTACTAAAACACTTTGAATCTAAGTTTCCTAGTAAGAACGGAAGGAAGTAGCATAGGAAATACTGACATAGCTCTGTTGCCTCTAAGGAAAACTGTTCAGGTCTTGCATTAAGTTAGAGTAATTATTTTAGTGGTGGTCTGTGGAACTTGCCCAAATGTCCTTGAGAGTCTAATCTGTCTCGGTGTATTTAGGAATTGCCAACTTCGATGTTAGTAAGACAGGGATCTATAACAGGAAAAAATGATGCTGGTATTAGATCCTTTGTGATGGATCTAAGAGAATTGTCTGAATGGTGCTGTTTTGTCATTCTGTGTCTATGTTCTGTTAAATGTAATGTTTTGTTGGTTTTTTTTAATTTTATTTTTGTCTATTACTTGGTCACTACTTGATTATAGATCAGTTTTATTTCTCGGTAGGTTGTTTTTATTAATGGCTTTTGTTTAAACTTAAAAATTTTCTGGCATCCATTAACTTGATTTCCGGATATGTAAATAGCTTTGGAACTGAGTGAACTAAGGAAAATTGCTTTGCAAATGGAAAAATACATGCAGCTAGCATTCAGTAGGATGTAGGATTCAGGCCATGGCATTTATGTTAATTTATCAAGTATTTTATTAAATATTTGTGCATTATTTTAGTTTTTTCCTGCTTTTGAGTGCAGTATTACACCATCTATATATCTTTTATGTTGAAGATTAATAGTAAGATAGAAATGACTAGTCTTATACAGCATGACTGTTCCTTAGTTTCCAAAATAGATTGGAATAGTTATATTTTTGTAATAAGTGATGTTAATGTCTGTTTTCATTTTTTTAAACACTATTTTAATATGTGTGAAACGCTTGCCAGTTTTTCTCCATTTCAGCTGGTTAGTCTTAAAATACTGCTTCTCGTTGCAAACCTGGTATCTACTGGATCTTGAGCATGCTGATTTATCTCACCAACTTTTTTTATTCTTTTCCTTTTTTAGGATGTAGATATGATGGATCAAAATGGAATGACACCTTTAATGTGGGCAGCTTACAGAACACATAGGTAATACCTCACTGCACTTTTGACCTTCTCTTGATGTTAACTAAGTGGCATGTAGTAGTGACTGGTTTTGATTTTTTTTTTTTCTGAAAGTTTTTTTTTGTTTAACTACTCAATATTATTTCCACAATTGCCGATTTATCTTTCTTCATTTATGATTGCTGGGAGTTAACCTCAGTGGGCAGCTCAGCCCCACGCACCCACTTGCTCACCCCCACCCAGCAAGATGGGGAGGAGAATCAGAAGGGTAAAAGCGAGAAAACTCATGGGTTGAGATAAAGACAGTTTAAAAGGTAAAGCAAAAGCTGTGTGCCCAAGCAAAGCAAAACAAGCAATTCATTCACTGCTTCCCGTCAGCAGACAGGTGTTCAGCCATCTCCAGGACAGCAAGGTTCCATCACCTGTAATGGTTACTAGGGAAGGCAGACACCATCACTCCTAATGTCCCCCCTTTCCTTCTTTCCCCAACTTTTATTGCTGAGCATGGTATCATATGGTGTGGAATTCCCTTTTGGTCAGCTGGGGTCAGCTGTCCCAGCTGTGCCCCCTCCCAGCTTCTTGCTGCATTGCAGACCCCCAACCTGCTCACTGGCAGGGTGGTATGAGAAACAGAAAAGGCCTTAACATTGTCTGAGCACTGCTCAGCAATAGCTGGAGCATGGGTGTGCTATCGACACTGTTTTGGTCACAAATCCAAAACACAGCACCAGAGGAGCTACTATGAAGAATAACTTGATCCCAGCCAAAGCCAGTACAGCGACCTATTCAAGACAGAGGATATTATGCAGACGTGCTCACTAATATGAACTTGTAGTTTGTAAAGTAAATCTTCCTGTGGAGATGATTGGAGAAGTGTTATTTTACACCAGCTTTTTCCAAAGAGCAAATCTGTCTGAATTAGATTCCTGCTTGGCAGGGCTTATCTCCCTCGATTGTGGAGAGGAAGATAGGCTAGCCTTTACAAATACTTACCATTACCAACATTATCATCCTATTTTATTTTCATCTTTTGGAATGTGAAGTGGAAATATAGCACGTTTTGAACTTTGGTTGTTATCTGCCACGTAAGTAATGATGTGCATTCTTTTACAATTCTGTTAATACTCTAAGGTTTTGGTAAAAATGAAAACAGAATTGCATAACAAATGTGTTTCATGACATCTCAGAACAAGCTGTCTTAATGAGCTCCTTTAAAAGTTGACAGAGTTGTGGTTGCTCTTTGGTGGGAAGGGAATTTGAGCTATTCATAGTCATCAGCAAATCACTTTGCTGTTACATAGTGTACCTGATCAATATTCTGTAGAGAAATTAAACTCGTTAACAATAAATTGGTATGTATTTGAGTTCATCTCCTGTAGAACTAACAAGAATTTTCTTTTCTAGTGTGGATCCAACCCGATTACTACTTACATTTAATGTTTCTGTTAATCTCGGAGACAAATATCACAAAAACACAGCATTGCACTGGGCTGTGCTAGCAGGAAATACTACAGTTATTAGTCTTCTGTTAGAAGCTGGAGCTAATGTTGATGCTCAAAATATAAAGGTAAACATTTGGTCTGTTTTTATTGTAAGTGGTTTGAAAAATAACAGAGCCTATGATAAATCTCAAGAATAGGTTGTTATTGTGGGTATGGTGGAATCATGAAGATGGAGCAAAAGCCAGGCCATTAATGTTTGATTCGGGAATCAGTTTTTCCTAACAGTGATGCATAATTAAATCTGCACCTTCAGAAGTACGCATGTAAATAATTTACCAATGGTTATGTGCAAATATATGAGAATGGGGTGTGCAATTAGACTGCAGGCATGAAGACCCATGCATTTGGATTCAAAATTGGAAATCTGCAATGTCTTCTAGTGAAGTTCTGGAGTGAGTGACTGTTTGCTGGAGTGAGATGTCGGACATCTCTGTCCTTTTCCAGAGAGATGTCAAATGGTCTATTATTATCTCCCAGCTGCAATAAAGAAGCTGGAGGCCTAAAGGTACCAGTAGGAGTAAAATAAGAAAATGGGTTCTTTTTTGCAGCAGAACTTTCAGTTGCCTGATTTCTGTACCAGAACCTCTTAATGATGAAGCTAGATTCAGCTCTAACAGAGCCCATCCCTAGCATGTGTTAGACCAGCCAAGCAGCTGTTACAATTTATGCCATAGACTTGGGGTCTGCAAGAGCTTCTCCAGCAGTGGAAGGTGCGCCTATTGAACATGGTTTTGTCCATTGCCTCCAGACTATTCTGTATATCAAATTAGATGCAGTTCACCACCCATTTCTTCTGTGGTGTCGGAGAAGAATTCACTTTTAGAGAAAGAATTCTCTACTCAATTTCTCTTCAATTATTTGTATTTTCCACTTAATGGGTGTTACAGATGGAGTGGTTACACTCAAAAATAAAGCTGTAAATCTACATTTGTGAAATATTAAATAATTAAATTTATTTGACCTTTCACCATTTTCCCTACTGATTAAGATGGCCAGGCTGTATTTTGCTTGGCCATAAGTGATAGAAATAGGCTAAAAAATTGATACACATCTGTCTTCTTGAACTGCATGGAACAGTCTTTCAAGGGTGTAGTCAAATATTGCTAGTAGCTTTCTAGGTCCTATGTCCACGTTAGAATATTAGAAATGCTGATGATCATGAATGAAAACTCATTAGAAAAATCACATGGCTTTTCACTGTTTAAAACAAATCGACTAGCTTCTTGCATGTACTGATGTGAATATGTAATAATTATTCCTGGAATATCAGGTCAGTCATGTGGATGAATTATGCTTCTAGTCTCACTTCTTGTAAACTGTTGAAAAGCTTTTATTCTATGCCACCTAATGGTAAAAATAAAGGTATTTTTGTGGAAAAAAAATCAGTGTGTCATACCTTGCTTTCCTTGGCAGACTGATTAGTGTGATTAGAGTTTTAAAGTCATGACCTTACATTTCTGGACTTTTACGAAATCCGTAATAAAAATTCGTATGTTTAGCCAAATGAAAAAGTTTCTGCTAGCCTCAAGCAGTTCATGGTCTCTCCTTTATTGACAGACAGCAGCAGTCAGTAGAAAAATAGGATTTTAAATCTGCTGGATCATGATATCTTTCCAGTCATGCCAGAAGATGTGTGCCTGGTTTCATTAACCACTGCCTGCCTTCTGTGGTGGAGTCTAGGTTGCTTGCATGCCTTCCTGGGTTTCTAGGATCTTCAGAGGATCAAAATCATTCTAGCAGTGGCAGTTTTGCCGTCCTGCCAGTGGCTTTGTAACAGGTGCAGATATGGGTTATAGTAAACATAGAGGAAACATGAGAATGTGGTTGATTTTTACAGATATGTAGAAACTCAGTTTTGTGCTTCTCATTTAACTTTTCAGCAAGAAAAGTTGTCTTTGAGCCAAAACCCAGTTGTTAAGTGTCTGGCTCACATTTCCCCAGAAATAAAAGGAATCATGAAAGGTTCCTTTCTGTTGCAGTCGCTTCCCAATTTCTGCAGCACTGTCTAGTGAAGTCCTTTTCTCAGATAGCCCATGGAATTGACCAAGAATGGTGGTAAGACAGCTAAGGTTAAAGAAATACGTTCACTGAAAGCCATTCATCTTTTTCAAATTATGAAGTGGCTGAAATATTAGGTGCAAGTTTTGACCTTGTTGTTATCAGCCCTAGGCAGTCTGTGTTAGAAAGGCACATGCTGCTGGCCACCTACGTTTGGAACAAATTGGAACCAGTCAGCTCAGTAAGGTGCTATTTTTACTTTGCATGACAGTTTGAGAAGTAGATTAACAATAGCATTCTTATTCTAGAATAAAGCTTAATACAAGCAGGGGGATTGTCCTGTTCATGTTATTTATCCTCTTTATATTATGGTGTATGAGAAAATAATGCTTTTCTTTTGTTAGTAAGGTACTTTTTTTCCTTTTTGAAAAACTGGATTACAGTTGGAGTTGGAAGTTACTTTTCAGAGTCGAAGTAGAGTGGGGTTTTTTTTTTTTTTTTTTTTGGTTAAGGAAATTATCTTGCCACATTAGTAGACAAATTGAGCAGACCAAGACAGGATTTCACAGGGAGTCAGCTTATCACTGGAGGTTGGGGGGAAACATGTAAATTTTATTTCAGTATAAGCAGAAGCTCTTTTTACTAGAGACTGATAGAGACCTAAAGGAGCTTCTATGGTTTAAGGAAGGTTTGGGCGTTTTGTGTTTGGCTGGGTTTGTTGGTTGGTTGATTAGTTGGCTTTTTTCAATCTGTTAATGAATCATTGAATGGACTTTAGATGTAGTTTCTTGGTTATACAGTCTATCTGTAGGCCTGTCTGTGGAAGTCTACATGTAAAGTTCCCTATGGTCATGACTCTTCAGATTATTCTTTCTGTCTAAACACTTTAAATACTTACTGTTGAAGCCTGATTGCTTGCTGGCAAATTAAGTGTGTTACTAGATCAAGTTCCTCGATTTTTTTTGTTTTTTTTGCGTTCTAAGCAAGTCTGCCATGCACCACCCCTGTGAATACAAGGAAAATATTACAATGGCCAGACGGTGAGAAGCATAGTCAAAGACTTCTTTAAAGCTCCCTCAATCTTTTTATCTAGGCAGTTCCTAGGTGTCTCATGGCCCTCTAGTGGAAGGGATGCTCAGCTGGACCCCAAGACAACGTCAGGATTTACTTGGGAGATCAACTCCCAGAGGGGATTGCTTGTCCACAGGTAATCTTTCCAGTCTGGATATATAAGGTGGTATTAAAACAAGAGCATCTCTGGAGTTTTCCAGATATTAGCAATTCAGGATGCTATTAAATTTGTGATGAAGTAGGCACAGTAGTTTGATTTCAGGCATTTCTGTTGAGGATGCAGTTAACTTAATCTGTTTCTTGAACATCTGGCTGAATAACCCTGAAGCCAAGCTAAGTCAAAAGGTTTCTTTTTTAACTGATTTTGCTAGTTAAACTTCTCACACAGGAGGAGTTCAAGATCCTGTTAAGTAGAAAAAAGCTTCACCTCATAATCTGTAGTCTGTGCTATTTACTCTCCCTTTAGAGATTTGGAGCAAGATTTCAAAGGCAAAAATGACAGTTAAGTACTCAATTCCCATGGTCTTTCTATGGGATATAGGTATCTAACTGTACTTTTTAATCCTTGAAATCTCTTCTGTCTATAGTAATTATTGCCCCTTCTGGGTAATTTCAGTTTCTGGTACCTGTCTCACTTTTTTTTTAGGAGGGGGCCGAGCGATGGAGGATTCAGCCATTTTTCAAGCCTCCATGAATGGTTTGTTTAGGAGGGGAGTTAACTCCAGTAGAAGAGAGGAGGAGTCAAATGCAAAACTGAAGCTGGAGGTACCTGCAATTGGTTGTCTCTTGCCTCCTCTATAATTTTAGACTCAGTGAATAACTTTAATTTAGCTCTCTTCCTAAATGTTTGAAAAGCAATAAAATCAAATCAGTTTGGTAGGCACCTTTGGCCCCTGTATCTCTCTCCGTGTCTCTCTTTTGCTTTGTCTGTCAGTCTGCTCTGAAAGTAGGGAAGGAGAAAGCGTGGGCCGTTGCTGGCTTAGCACCCAAAGTATGTGAAGCACAAGCTAAGCATAAAAGCTCAGAGTTCTGGAATAAGTTGGACATCAGCAATCAGTTTATTCTTTCCCTTTTTTTTCCAAGGACTTCAGTAGCGGAGGTGAATACAAGAACATTAAGCTTGTGGAAGAAATTACTTATAGAAACATTCCATGATATTAGTAACTTAACTCTGCCAAAAAGGCAAAGAATTAACTGAGAAGTGAGGCTTTAGACCGGGAGAGTTTCCATGATCCAGTGGGTCACGAGTTCTTATTCTTTGCTTGATTTCTGCTGCCTGTCAATAGGTGAGGGGGAAGCACAGTCTTTCGTTTACAGACTAGTAGGCTGTGTGTAGAACAGTGAAACAGATGTGTTATGCCAAAAGCAACACTTCCTGCTATGTCAGGACATACATATTGTCAGGATCACTCATTTAATATTCTACTTCTCCACGCATGTATAGTTATGAGAGAGTGAAAAAGACCAAAAGGAATGAATGATATTTGGTGTCAAGTAAGCTGCAGAGCAAAACATGTGCCAGAATGTAGCTTAAACTGATTTAAAATCTATTATTTTTACCTGCCAATCTTCTGTTTCAGAAGTGCTCTGAATGCATTTTATTTTTAAATTGGATGTTTCCCGCTTTTATACTTCTGGCAGGGAGAATCACCACTTGATCTAGCAAAACAGAGGAAAAACGTTTGGATGATCAATCACCTACAGGAAGCAAGACAGGCAAAGGGATATGACAGTCCATCCTTTCTGAGAAAACTAAAAGCTGATAAGGTAAGAAGTAGTATAACGCTTATGTAAATCAATATTACTGCTGCCATTGGTTTCGGGGCTTGTGTGTTTGTTTAAGGTAAGCTATTCAGTACTGTGGTTTCCCCACGCTTCAGTTTTAGAAAACACCTTTTTGTTATGGCAGAAGTAATTGCAAAAGCCAAAAAACCCCCACCTTTATTCAAGGCAGGAGGAAAGAAAACCCTAAGTCTCCACACAGTTACCTTAGTTTTTGCGCTAACTAAATGTTAGGAAAGTACCCAGTGGTCTGGTATTGTTGGGGATAGCCAAGACTTTCACAAAGCTGACTCTCAAGTATCTAAGCAAAGAAGCATTTTAGATATCCTGAACTCTGATCTCCTCTCTAATTCTGTAGTGGTTTGTGCTGAATGAAAGCAGCAGTCAGTCTTGGCAGTACAATGTAATATATGAATCTCTAACGTGGAGGCCTTTTTCTGTTCAGGTTATTATTTAATACTGCAGGTAGAAGGAGGCAAGAAATAAGGGTATAAAGAGTAACATATTGCTCTAGCATGAAGAACTGTCTAGCTGCCTGTAGTTTGATAGCTAATATAGAGCTAATATTTTCTTACCAGGCAGAGTGTTATGCTGGATATGGAGTATTGCTATCACTGATTTGCTGCAACTTCTTGATTTAAAGATACATTGCATCTTGCTGATCAAAGCACTGGCTACAGCTGGTGTTTTAACCCAGTGGTAATATAATAATGCAGTGATTATTGACTTTAAGTGATTTGTGCATTGCATCGTGTGTACATGTGCATTGTGACTGTGCTTTGAATATCTGGGAAGAGTTCACTGCCTTCATCAGGAGTTGTACTCGCATAGTGTAAGACAGGTCCTGTCTTTCCCCAGAGATGCCTCAGTATGACTTGATCTATTACTTATGTAACTGCAGCCTTTAAAGTTCACTGAGATTACCATGTGCTGTGTAGCAGTTTATATGCTGTGACAGATTCTTAAAAAAGAGCTACTGTTGCCTGTGTTCTGGATTAACAGCAAAGTCTCTAGAATGTTGTTCTTCTGAAATAAATAAAAGTACTGATTTGTTATAAAATTTTGGGAAGATTTTTTTTCTTGCACATTCAATGGAGATATGTAAATATAGAAAACGAGAAAAATTTATGAAGATTCCACCCGCTACATCAAAATTCCTGAAAACTTATTTAAGTTTTTGTGACTGTCCTATTTATTATAGAATATTATTATATAATCTGTTCCTGAAAATAGAGTTACTTACTGATATTTGTTTCTATGTAGGAATTCCGTCAGAAGGTGATGCTGGGAACTCCTTTCCTAGTTATTTGGCTGGTTGGGTTTATAGCAGACCTAGACATTGATTCTTGGCTCATTAAAGGGCTGATGTATGGTGGCGTTTGGGCTATGGTGCAGTTTCTTTCAAAGTAAGTGTTTTACCAGAACACTGTCTGTTTAGCGTGTACACAAGAAGAGTTTTGCTGTTTTTGTTGGATTTTTTTTTTTTTTTATTACTATTTCTGGGAAAGATCTTGTGCGACTTCAGCTCTTGTAATGCTCTATTGTCTTGCACATAACCTTGGAGTTACCTTGGGTGATTACCACTGAGCTAATAGAAGCTAACAGCGGAACAGAAATTCAGTCCTTGTCCAGAGGAGGGTGCTGAATGTCTGCCTACAAAGAGTTATCAGCATGAATTTTACAGAAAGCAGTCCAGGGGAAAGTTACTGGAAAGGAATAGAAAAAACATGTTGTGCAAGTGTGCTCTTAAAACCTATTTTTTTTAATAACTTAAATACCCAAAGGCATCTAAACAGGTGTATAGGAAGAAATGAAGTCAGAGTCAGATTTTGTAGCTTCTATTGTTGTGGAAAGAGGTGACATCTGTAAGTACGCCTATATACACACGTGTACACACATACACGTGCAGGCATGCTCCAGCACATTTTCAAGATCTATAGACTGCTTCATCTATCCTTTGCTTTTCATTATCATGTGTGGCAGGTACAGAAGAACTTATTGTATCTTCATGAGTGTGAGCTTTCTGCTTTTCTGGCATTGAATGTCATGTCTGTTAGAACCACTTACTACTACTTCCTTAAGCTAAGTTAGCAGAATTTTAGCGAACTTAGTACAACCGGTGGGAGGTGGGGGTTCGTTGAGCTTTTGCCTCGGCAGGACCTTGGAGATGATCTGTTCAGTATTTTTGTCATCTCTGAGGCTGTGCAGTTTGCTGACCTCTTCCCACAAATAATTTATTTAGCAATGCAAATCCTCAACCACACCTCCTGCAGGAAGCAGGGACAAGATTTTGTCAAGTTTTTCGAGACCTGTGTTTTGTCAAGTTATGTATTTTTTACCTACCTGTCACATACTCAGGATTAACATTCTTACTTTCTCCTATCCTTTGCTTAATGTTTAGTATAAGTACTTTTTGAAATGTTTTTCACAAAGCTCACATTTGAATGAAACTTTTGCATTTTCTCTAGTAGTATTTCCTTTTCCTGTTGAATTTTAGCTAATCTGCTTAGCTGTGTTTTCCTCCCTCATCCATTCACACACACACACATAAAAATGCTCAGAAATCGCTGAAAGAAAGATTACTGCTGGGTAACTATGTGTCCAAATGTATATTCGCTTACTACTTACCATCTTAGCTCTTCTTCCTTATAGGATTTTCTCAAAAGACCTAAGAAACTTCCACTAGAGAAGAGAGAGTTACTGCAAGGGAGTAGAGGAGTGAAATGGAAACTGCTCTGTGCAGACATTTGTCTGTGGTTGCCTTGAGGGCACCACTAGGACAAAAAACAAAATGCATCAACATAAGGACGTTTAGGCAGATGATGGAAGAAGTTTCATTTCAAGGAGTTTAGCAGTTTAGAGTGTGACTTTTGGTATGTTTAGCAATTTTTCCTGAATATGGAATAACCTAGTCGCTCACCTGGTCTCAGCTGTATTCAACTTTATTCAGAGTAGTCTTTAAAATGCAAGAGTATTGGAAGGTGTCAATGATTCTGATGGCTTAATTTTTTCTTTTTATTTTAATTAAAGTAGCAGCATTCTATCTTAGAACTTGGCAAATTTGGTGATATGGGAAATGAATTAATCTGGTTTTTTTTTCCGTTCTGGTGGCAACTGTAACAGAAGCAAAAGATTCAAGAATCTGAAATATTTCACATATGTAGGCTGATAACACCAAGGTCTCTCAAGCTTTTTTCTTACTGAAGTAATTTTAACGTGTAATTTTCATTGTATGGGTTTCCAAAATATAGTTAACACTGAAATCTCATAAGTAAATGTAGTTTGCAACTACTGTCCATGTAGGCTAGGAAGCTCACAGATTTCTAACTGCTTTCACAGTGTAGTTTTAGCATGAGTATTTACTCTTTCTACCTTTTCCTGTCCACTTCTTGACGTGCACTTCAGAAGTGAATGTATAAATTTTAAATTAAATAATTTTGTCATGACCATTCATCTGGACAGGTTGAAAACGGGAATTTCCCATGAACTGTGAAGGTAGACGTGAGGACAATGTTTTTGTGGTGTATTTTGCAATATCCCACATAGTACATATTTTAACAGAAAGTGTTTTCCAGAAGCAGTAGTTCAGGATTTACATTTTATAAGTCAAAACTTATCATGTGACATTGCTCCTACTTTACAGGTCATTCTTTGATCACTCCATGCACAGTGCATTGCCTCTTGGGATATACTTAGCAACAAAATTCTGGATGTACGTGACGTGGTTCTTCTGGTTTTGGAATGATATCCTTTTTTGTGTACAGTAAGAAGTAATACTTTCTCAAGTAAGTAGTATGATGTAATACCTAGATGTATCCTGCATATAAGTGTAAGTAAACTACTTATAAAATGTCTATGTCCATTAAACATTGCTTTCTATATTGATGGTAATCATTTTATCGCTTTAAAAACATGGACACTGTTGCTTTTGCCTTAGTAAGTGAAAGATTTTCCTCAGAACAGCTTACAGTAGTCTGCAAAATTTCCTGTACTTTACCAGTTTCATAAGTGGGGGAAGTGTAAGCAGCTCTATAACATATGCTCTGGCTGTGAGGGGACTGCATTTTTAGACACTGCTTTTTTGAAAAGCAGTAGGTAATTTCATGGTATGTATCAATTCCAGTGGAATTAGCTTTATAGGTAGTTATTCCTAAAGATTTTGCAAATTCCATTTAATACAAACTTTAGACACATTTGTTAGCTGTATTTTCAGTCTTTGAAGATGCATGTTGTTAACAACAGTAGATTATAAAGATTCAGCATATACCTGTATGTTTTTGACTGTCTGCCTAGATACAAACCTTTGTACTCACAGGGGTAGAAACTGATTGAGTTCACTGAAGAATGTCAGTTACCCACCTTTAAGGAAATACGTTAAAATTTTTAAACAACTTTCTTGGGTATTGTAATTACAATAACCAAGAAAAGAAAATAGAGATTTAATGTTTTATTAAATTTTTAATACAATTCTTATAGTTCTAAATAGCTGGAGTGAACTTAATATTTAAGATGGATGTTGGCTTGACTTTTCTAGAAGCTGGTTTTCTTTTCATCCTCAGAGGCATTACCATGAAATAGGATAGTAGCAGTGCAACCCTTTTATAATCTTGTTAATGTGTTCTCCAACCTTAGCTAAATATGCCTCACATTTTTGGTTTGAGACCAGAGAGGAGACCCTTCTTCCATGCTGCCGTTGGCTTCCATGCTGACAGTGTTTGCAAAGGTGCTGCTGTGAATGATAGCAGTCCCGTGTGACTGGAGATGACTGCTATTTCATGTTTAAAAAAACCTAAAAATGAAAAGCTAGTAGCTGTTAAGGAAAAAAAAAAATCTATCAATATTAGCATGAGTTTGTCTTGAAATAGGTATTTAGAAATGCTGGTACTACTACCAGTCTCTCTGTTTGGCCTGATTTTCTATTTTTTTTCATTCAATTAAATTTACTAGTAACTGCAGAATGAGGAAAACAAGTACAAAATGAGTAGGAAAAACTATTTAAAAAACAGTGGTCAAAAATAGAGATATATACTTTTCCAGTTTTCATGGAATGGAGTAGAACCATCTAAATATGCCACGCCTCTAGACTGAAGTTGCTTTTCTGTTCTTTTTGTTAAGAAAACCTGACTTTTGGCAAATAGTAAAATACAAGTTTCTGAGGCAGTTATAACACCACCATCTCACTTCTGATCTCAGCTCTGCATACCTTGTAGTTTTTCTTTAGAAACTTGTGTTTGCTAATGCTACTCCATGTTTTGGGTTGCAAATGTTGAGCTACTGTGAAATGCTTCCTTGTGCTAACATAACATCAGCTTGAACCAAATCTAAGTGTGTGTGCAACTTAATATGGTCAAGGACTTCGATTTAAAAAAGGCTGTACAGCCAACACAACTCAGTTATGGCCTCTGTCTTCATGTGCAAAGCTGTCCCTTAAGGCTGACGAATTGTGAGAATTTTATCCTGAAGTTTGTATTTTCTCATATTTGTACCAACTTGCTTAGATTTTTATTTGTTAGGCGTTCTGATTAATGTAACTTGAAGTTTGGGTGCTTTTTTTTGTCACAGAATAATGTTCATTGTCCACTAGAAGTAGTAACCATAGAAAATTAATTACCCTAATAAAGTCTGACTTCCAAATGTCAATAAAATACTGTACTGCTTCTGTAATTTAAGGTAGGTGCCTCAAAAGTTTTGCAACAGTCTTTTTGTACACAGAAGTAGTAGTCTAAAAACTCCAGTTACTAATTGCTTTCATTAGAGCTGACACAATTCTCTGACAAGCAGTTTTAGAGACTTAGTGCTTGAGGCCATCTTCCTTTAATTGGTGATTTTTAATTGGAAGTCTTTGTAATAAGATTCCAGATTCATTCTTCTTCTCCTGGAAAATTGCCTTGTAGCTTCATTGGAAAAAAGAAATTGCATGCATGCTTTATTTTTATAGCATGAGGCACAGCATTGTGGTTGGAGAAAGGATTCTTGTATTTTTACAGCTTTATATGATTACTTACAGCAGACAAGAGAGCAACTTTATACCCTGTAATGTTCAAGTGATAAAACCTGTCCTGATAGTTTTTACAAATTCTGCCCATCTTTTGGTCAGGAACAAAGTTTCTAACCTTAAACAACTATCACAAATTGCCTTACTGGAACTTTATAGTATAAGTAATATAAAGGTCTTAATTGCTACAAGTGTTACTTTAATACTCAGGTGTTTCGTAAGAATTTTCTTGTAGATATGTTGAAAGTATCTGGAATATTAGCCTTATAAATGCCTATAAATATCTTAAGGGTGGGTGTCAAGAGGATGGGGCCAGACTCTTTTCAGTGGTGCCCAGCGACAGGACAAGGGGCAATGGGCACAAACTGAAGCACAGGAAGTTCCGTCTGAACATGAGGAAGAACTTCTTCCCTCTGAGGGTGACGGAGCACTGGAACAGGCTGCCCAGGGAGGTTGTGGAGTCTCCTTCTCTGGAGATATTCAAGGTCCGCCTGGACGCGGTCCTGTGCAGCCTGCTGTAGGTGACCCTGCTTCAGCAGGGGGATTGGACTAGATGATGCACAGAGGTCCCTTCCAAACCTGAACATTCTGTGATTCTGTCTGGCCTTCTGGATTTAATCCTAATAAGACAGAAACTGGCAGTCGAAACAATGTATCATAAAGAACAAACAAACCCAAAGATTAGAAGTGTGTTTTTTTAAATTTCAGGGTGGTCACATGAAAAATAAGTCTATAAATTCTAAGGCTTAATAATGTGTCATCTAAAAGACCAATCTTGAAAGTAAATTCAAACAGTTTTGGTAAATCTAGCGTTCTGAATTTTTGTAAGTGTTTCCATGCTATTAGATTTTTCTCAGCAGCTTCTGTGTCTGGTATATTTGTTAAAATAGAAATCCTATTCTTGCTGGGAATGAGGAAGTTATGATCTGTGTATTTATGGATATATGACTCTCTGGTCCTGTGCTTCCCTCGTGGCTCCCCCTTAGCTGTATTTTGCCCATAACAAAGGATAGTTATGTCATGCTCTGATAGTGTATTCTAAGGTTCTACTGTTTGCAGTGTAGGGGGACAATACCTTCAAAAGTCCTACACGCTAAATCACCATATTTTAATTTAGTTTTATTTTTAAAGGAAAAAAAGAAAAAGATTCAAAAGTACGCGTTTAATAACGTGAGACTAGAATTTCACATTCCACTCTTTTTCATTAGCATTTATAGGTAGAATGTTCTCTTGTGTCCTGTAAAAGTTCAGGGCGCATGTACCGAGTTCATATCTCAGTTGTTCATGCAGTATTTTCAGTTCCAGCTGAATAAATAGTGCCTGTTATGTCACAAAGTTCTTGTACTGCTCGGTTTTTCTAAGACGCCGGGGTCAGCTGTAACCCAGAATATTCACAGTATTCTTTTTTTGATTCTACCACTTCCATTGGGTGCAAATGGGAGTGTGCAGTTTTCATTAGTTAAGCTTTTTTGGTATAGCATACTACTTGCGATGCTGAGATGATGAGATGACATAAGCCAGTTTCTAATTTTTAAAATAATTTATCATGGACTAATACTGTATTGATTATCTTATTTCAGATATACTTCATGTATTGATGGCATTTAAGTGAAAGAAAACAAACACTGCGCGCTTTTTCAGTTAGCGATCATTTTAAAAAGTGGGTGTAAGAGAACTCATGATTTTCATGTTTTCGCAAAGCTGTTACAATAGCATAGTGTTTTAAAAGTTGTAACAAGCTAATTGGTGCAGTTAAACAATTAAAATGAAAAAGAATTTCATATTACCAAAATTAACTTCAAGAAAACAGCAAAAAGCCTTGCATGCAGAAAGCAAGAAGCCAACAGCCATGTTTCTAGAGGAGCAAAAGACCCAAGAAATCCAAACCCCAGGCCCAACTATCCAGAACTTGTGTTCCCATGTCTAAATACTTTTTCTATATTAAAAAAAAAGTAAAAAAAAAAAACAACCTGGGATGGGAGAGATGGCAGTGAATGAATTTTTTTCGCAAACTAAGGGTTTTGGGGTTTTTTTTTTATGTTAGATAGAAGCTGGACGTAGAGAGCTGGACGTATGCAGAGCTTCAGTTGATTAAAATTGGATTTTGTCTACTAAATGCCTAGTAAAATGAGGCTTCTTTTGTAGCGACCTGCTGGTATCTACCTGGAGTCTTGGATCCAGATGTACGGCTGTTATGAATTGGCAGGTTCATTAGCATGTATTGATCTCTGACACTGGCTGCAGATCTTTCTCTTTAGGAGTAACGGATTTTATTACTGGATTTGCAGTTAGTGAAAGGGAGCAGCTTGGTATAGAACGTGTACTCTGGCTTGGTTGCAGATTCTTGTGTGACGAGGAGCTGTGACAGCAGGAAGCTGCCTGGCTTTGGGCCCTTTGGAACAGGCTGCAGTTCAGGATGAAGAATTAGCTCATCACGTGTTTAGCTCACACATGGGTTGGGCAGTGCTTGTTTGGTTTTAATTTTCTTTTTAATGAGATGGTATTTTTGGTTCCAAGTGGTTTCCTCTAATAATTTTCAGCCTTTTATTCTAATAATTAAAGGATGTTGATCAGGACTAAAAGTAGCAAGTGTTTCATTGGTGTTTCTGCTTTGTCTCTTGCAAGGAAAACTGGGGAAACCTCATAAAAGACAGCAAATTAGTGGCAGGGCAGAAGGTGAATGCCTGCTATATCATGCATTTTGCAGTTCTTAATAATATGGTAATGTATTTTTCCTTATGTCATTGTAAATGAGGATGTTAGGACAAAACGAGGCACTCTCTCTGGAGTGCCGATACCCTACTCTAGCTAATGCAAACCTACAAGGGTTTCTTGCCTATGGAGAGTTCTGAAACTCAAAGTTGCTTAAATCTCTTTGGAGATAAACTTCAGAGGGGGCTTTGACATGGGTTTGGATACCTCTAGTGTGGACATCCATAGCTAAGTTAGTTGTTTAAGCTCCTTTCATAGACAGTGGAGAAAAATATCCACCTGTAGGGCACTGCTTCTCTGATTTAATTTAAATATCTTGATATTGAAGATAGATTGGACGTAGGTTGTTCCTCTCTGTTGTGTATGAAGGCATGCTTAGTGATTTAAGGTCAGTGACATGAATCCCACAGTTGGGGTTGTTTATCTACATCAGATGCCAGAAATATCCTGGAAAAGACAATTCTAACTTTCCTTTCTCCTTCGAAGTCTGGTTGGTTTTCATCCCTTCTCCCCAGTTTTGCTTAAAACTTACGAGAAATGAGTTTTTTTAATACACTAATGAAAAATACTGCTGACACTGTCTTTCTACATTTACATAGTTACTGCTCATCTGTACTTAACTCTGTTTTCTCATGTAGTCTCCCAACATCTCCCACCCTCAGCCCAGAAGTACCTTATCTGCCACCATTCACACTCAGCATTGCACTCATCTGACACCTCTGTGTTAAAAGGAAAGTCAAAACTTAGACTCTGTGGGGAGTCTCTTATGCTCTCTCTATTTTATGGCGTTAAATAGGGGAAGGCTAAGTTCAGAAAATGGACAGCTTCTTTATTGTACAGGTTGTCTGAATTCTAGTCAGTAAAATAACAATTCCAAAACTTTACAGTTATAAATATCCTCTTCTTTAACAGTCTAGACATGATGTATCATAATTAGGAATGGGTCCTATAATTTTTTTCAGTTGTACATTTATTTATTGTAATGGATGTCTGATTAAGGTATTTTTAATGAAAAAAACAGTTTTCACTGTTGTGGCAAAAACCCCAGTGATACTTTTAGTATTCTAAAGAAAATTTAATCTCTCTAGCTATAGAAATAAGCTGAATGAGCTTATTCTTGGCAGCAGGTAATTTTAAAAGAAAAATAGGAAGAAATTAGGTTGTATAAATATTAAAGTCAGAGCTTTTAATCTGTAATGTTTCAAATAGAACTGTGAGTGTTTAGGTTATAGTATAGCCGGTGGGTTTTCCCCCCTATTATAAATTTGCTGGAAACAACTTGTTGGAAGAAAGATTAATTAGCTTTTAGTGAATTAATACTAGCGTTCTACTATATAAGGTACATGATTAAAATTTTAACTTAACTTGCCAATATTTCTTTTATTAGAAATTCACAGCCAGTTCTTCCCCCCAACAGAAGGAAAACAAAAGTTATTCATGATAGATTTCACATGAACAATGAGCCTTTCTTAGCACTTCAGAAATCAGGCAGAGGCCTTACTAGTATTTATTCATACTAAGAGGTTCTTTTACATTGTAACAGCAGTGTAGAAGGATTTGAGATACTTGCTGTTATTCTATAGAAATTCTGTCTTTTTTTCATTTAATACTTGCTTGTATCTGTACCATGGAGATTTGTTTATCAACGGTTTATGTAGTTTTTTTCTTAATACTGCTAAATGCCTTCAGTAAACACTTTTTTCAAGAGCAAAGTCAAGCAGAGTAGAATATACTTGTAGATATATATAGCAACCTCCTAGTACCTAAAGGGGGCCTACAAGAAAGCTGGAGAGTGACTTTTTACAGGGGCATGTAGTAACAGCACAAGGGGTAGAGGCTTTAAGATGAAAGAGGGTAAATTTAGACTGGATTTAAGGAAGAAATTCTTCACTGTGAGGGTGGTGAGGCACTGGAACAGGTTGCCCAGAGAACCTGCAGATGCCCCCTCTCTGGAAGTGTTCAAGGCCAGGTTGGATGGGGATCACTTCAAAATCTGATTTCTTCAAAGTATGCAAAACGTGTTTTTTTGTTGTCTTTGAAGTGTAATATACCAGTTCACTACGGATTGCCGTGTAATGCTTGTTTTTGTCTTGTATGCAGGGTTTTTTAATCCACACACACAATAAACTCTAATTACAGTAGAAGTGCTGAAGTAGAGAGAAATATTAATCTAAGTTAAGAAATAATAATCTAAGTTACTCAGAATGTAGTGTAATTTGGGTGTGCAGTGATATGTGCCTGAGTAATAAGTGTCCCTTTTTGCCTGGATAATGCTGTATAGGCTTCTGCCGCCACAGCTTTGTCAAATACGTCATCTCTTTGCAGTTATGACTGACACCTGACAGGCATCTTTAGTCAGGTTGGTCAGGTTTTTTTTAGGTTTATCAGAGTGAATAATTTTCCACTTTTTGTGGAAGAGACATGTCTGAAGTATTTGGTTTATCAACATCATTGCTAAGAAATGTTTTAATTCTATGAAGAAATGTCAAGTGTTGCAAGACTAGGCATGTTATATGGCAAGTCATTCAACACAGGAAATGTATTTTAAAACTAATGCTTATTTTCTGTCTTCATATGATGGTTGATTTATAAACACTTCCAGAGAATACTAAAGCCTGTGGTTTTGTGAGTATTGGATGCTTTAGTATGTTAAAAATAACTTTCCTTGATGTAAAATGAGTTTTGCCTTATAATAGGACCAGGTTTCAGACAGTGCCTTTCTTGGAGATAAGTGGTGTTGAGATGTGATTGCCATGCAACAGTGGTCATTGCAGCACAATTCCTTCTATGGCTAGAAACAGTCCTTTCTGTGATCTGACGGGAATGTCCAGCTACTGAAGACAGAGGCAGTCAAATGTCTGTCTTATAAATAGAGCTCTGAAATGTTTATTGTGAAAACAGGAAATACTTTTAAGAAGATAAATTTCATGGAATTTGATTTATTTAAAAGAGAGAATAATTACAAAAACTGAACTGTCGTTATTCTTTAGAAGGAGAAGTGCTTTACAAATGCCTCATGGAGAACAGCAGTTGTAAGTTTTCATGTTTGGGAAATAGAAAATACTGACTATCAAGCTAGTTCTTACAGCAGTGCTGAATTTTGTTAATTCAGAAGACAGTGACCCAAGGACATTCATAAAAATTAAATCTATTTATTTCAGAATTATCAGTGGGTATTTTCAAGAGGAAATTTGTTTTTAAACTTTAGATTCCTTGACTTCAAACACATCTCAATTTTTTCTTTATACATCTTCCATTCCTCGCTAATAGCGTTGCACTTTTCTACAATTTTGGAAAATCCTGGAAGTCTGATCCGGGAATCATCAAAGCCACAGAAGAACAAAAGAAAAAGGTAAAGCCATGAGATATGTCAGACTTATTCTTCAGCAGCGTTCCAGCAGTTGGTCAGAGTATTTTGCCTTTCAGTATCTGAAATTTCAATAAATTGTTGTACAACAAAATATCTAAAATGTTGAAAAGTCTTGTCTTCCAGATTTCTTTTTTTTACTTTTGGAATGTATATTTGAGTCTTACTGGTCCAAAGATGCACTTAGTTCGTTTTGAGTAACAAAACAAAATTGCAACTTAAATTTTCAAGATAAAAAGCTTAAAAAGTGGTTGGGTGAAAATGAAAATGGGAAGCTTTGGAGTTTTACCTCACTGAAACAAATAACCCGTTATGGAAAAAGTATTAATTTGATTCTATAAAAACTTGCCGATCTTTTAAGCACCTCTAATTTTCCTTACCTTTGTGTCTAGAAGTATTAGACTGACAAACATTTTGAGGCTAAAACAACTAAAACCCCTGGCAATCTGGGGTGGGTTTTGTAAATATTTGAGAAAATACGGATGATCTAATAATAGCTTTCTAATACTTTATATAACACTATTATTAGCATTTCTGATTCCTTTTAATTCAAGTGCGTTGTTCTCAGCAGCCAAACTAAGCATTGAATATGCCAAAATAACACAAGCAGCAGAATCATTTTGTTTCTTTCATTTTGGTTGTTTCCTGAAGCTGACATCCCACCAAAAGTGAATTTTGAGCTTCTACTGCATGGTCATTTGTGAAAACACCTGTGTGCTTCGACATCAGACCCCTTGGAATTGTGGCCTTATTTAGGAATGAAAATACAATAGCCTTTAAAAAGATGGTTGCAATAGCTTAAATTATTTTTGTTTTCTCCAGTAGGTGATTACTGAGTTATGTTAGTCAGTGTGCAGTTTTACTGTGCACATTCCCTTTCTGTTATTGCCAAAGTAAATTTGAGACTAAATTCTCTTCCTTCAACTGGACTAAATGAAATAGAAGAGTGAGCAACTGGACTTTGGTTTGGATTCAGCAAATTGCACAAACATGCAATTCATTTGATCTACTTGCTGAAGTAGTTAAGTGTGGTTACAAAAGCCTTGCTGAACC